GGGGGAGCCCGTCCCGGCCTCCGTCGTTTCTCTTCCCTCCGCAGCCCGGCAGCGACCCGAGGGAGCCCGGGAGGAGACCAGGGGCAGGCGGGCGGCCAGGCACAGCCATAGCTACACACAGCGGGAAGCGTACCCCCGCTGCAGAGAGGGAAAGCGCTGCCCGGTGTGAGGAAATGAGCACATCATCTTCCCAGGACATTGTAAAAGTCTGCAAAATAATAGAAGAACATTTTGAGAAGTGCATGAAGTTACTTGACAGTATTTAAGAGGCCTCTCTCTCGACAGGGCGGCTTGCTGAGCCTTTCAGTACCTGGCCTTGGCTCAGGCAATTCAACACATTGTAAAGGACGAACGACAGAACAAGAAAGAAATGCAAACCAAAGGTGCCCTGGCCCCTGGGATGTGTCTGGGTGAGAAAATAAGGTTTATTCCCAGCAGGCAGGGAAAAGCGTTTGTCAGGTAATTGGTTTGCACAACTGGTCCAGCAGAGAGCCGGGAGCCCTTTTCCCCCCAGGTCTGTGCTGTGCTGAGGCCACCTGCCCTCAGGCGCTGGCCCAGCCTGACAGAGGGGCCAGGGCTGACCTAGGGAAAAGCACGTTAGCCAATGCCAGCTACTAGTGAAAACAGCTGGAGGTGGAAGCAGTTGAAACATCCTTTTTATGGGACAGAGGAGTAAGTTTGGGTGTTTTTTTTTAAGCATTGGAGCCAATGGCTGTAACATGCACTTATTTACATGACAGCAAAAGACATTCGTCTATCCTCTGTCACTAAGAATAGCTTCCAAAGAATTACAGTCTGTAGCATAGATGGGCTCTTACGCACTTTCTTAGTCATATTATCAAAGCATTATCCAGATCCCATAGCAAATTAAAGTCCCAGGTAAAGTATAGGCCTACCAGATTTACAATTATACTAGCGCAAGGCAGAAAATGTTCCCCTTATGAAAAGGGCTGACACACAGAATGTACTATTAAATGTGTTATTACAGAAACATATGAATGAAAGGTTAGAGTACTACTTTAGATCGCACAGGACTGAGCGTCTGCTTTGTACGTTAAAACAAAGGTATTACTTAAAACTGCAGAGAAACAAACTAATGGGAGGTCCCATAAATACCTCTTACCCTTATTAGAACCTACATTCTGTTTAGTAAGGACTGGTTGAAATAGGGTAGCAGGTCTTAAAGTACAGCATTAAATCATCAACCAGCCAGCTTGCTCTCCTTTGCCTCTACTGCAATTATAGCAGCTGTACGGTAATATTGAAGTGAATCTTTCACCTCCCAGATCAATTAGCATTTGCAACTTAGACAAGTTTAATAGATTTAGCAAGTGTCAATATTGAAAGTCCTGAGGAAAGGTGAAGACTGTTAACAAATAAACCCATGCCTGTGCCTTTCCATGGCTATTTGTGTGTGCTAATAGTTAATCGTCCAGCTCCTATCACGCAGCTACCTATTGGCCATCATAACTGTTTCCTCTTAGTAGGCGGCTCAGCAGAGAGGCTTAAGAATAGTTGCCATGAGCTGCATGCATCCTTTGCCCTAGCTGCAATAAGAGGATATTTATATTTGAACTGCCAAGGTCCTCTGCTTTCTTGAAGGAGTGAAAAAAAATTCCATCAAACCTGTTGTTCTAGCCCTATGGGTAGGATTTTCCTTAAAAAGGCAGCAAACTGATAAAAGTGTGCACTAATGATACATGATTATTCCACAGCTGGTGAAGGTCTCCCACTTTCACAGAACCACCACCATCTTCCAAAAAAGTAAATGTGCAACAAATGCCTATTTCTATATTAGTGTGCTGGATGTCAGAGCTTACTAACATCCTGTAACCAAAGAAAAGGGTGACTGCAGGGTGTCGCTAATTTTAAATTAAGGGCGCACTTCTAAAACAGAAATAAACTGTTGAGCTTATTTTGTACATTGCTCTCTTGTCCATTGGCTCCTTCTAGTGGCCTTCCCCGGGCGCTACAATTACCTAAACCCTTCCCTACCTACTTCAAGTTCTCAACGAACTTCATTTAGCTGTCTGTCCAGACACCAGAACAGCGGACAGACTTGCCTGAGCAGCGACAGCTTTCAGTAAGATACACACAGAAAGACAGACCTCAATCATCTAAGTATTTCCAGTGAAGTTTGTTTGCCTCTAACTTTTCAGGCTTCTTGTATGCCAGAGAAAACTTTGCTGCAGAACATGGTGAGATCCTATGGAGGACGAGTACAAGAAGCCTGAAGCCAGAAAATGGCGCTGGGACAGTTGCTGCTCACAGTGCTTGCTGGCAGGGTTTTACATGGCTTCTCCTAGCTTGATGCAGTTAAGTCTCCCATTCAGAATGCCAAACTGAGAGAACATACAGAACACGATAGCTTCTGTTCTCCTGCAACAACTTTAGGATTTTCTTCTATACATTGTGCTCTGCAGGATCCACAAACATAAAAAAATTATTGCCCACACTCCCTAAAATTGTTGTTCTCAGATAAAGCTGTGAGAGAATTTTATAGGTGCTCCTACACAGCTGAACTCTCCCTTTTATCTGCCTCCAACATGAATCTATGGTTTTTGTTTTTTAAAACTTCAGATCTTTAGGCAATTATTCTAAGCAGGCTCCGAAGTCTTTTCTACCTGGCACATTAAGATAAGAGCAATATCCTGCTATTTGTTCATTCCAGTGTATACCTTAGAAATAACAATTGGCACATCCTATACTTCAAAGGAAACTTGTTCTGAACTTGCTCTTGCCTCTGCTAATGCACAGCTAGTGACAGCTCTTTTCCTGGCTGGTAGCAGCGGTAGTAGTTTGGAAATGGTGAACTAAAGACCACACACTAAATGTATGCAATGAATTGAAAATAGAAAGAGTTAATTGTTGGTAACTTGACAGTCTGACTGAGCCTGTCCAGAAGCACAGCGCTTCACTGTTCATCCTCAATATGCCTATTCATGTTTGATTTCCATCAAAAGCATTCAACTTAACTATCCACTCTCCCCTACCAACTGCATTCCAAATCAAGATTTATTTGCTACTCTTTGCTGCATGGTTTTGTATATTGCGTTGGTTTGTACTGCTCAAGAACTGAAAATACTGAAAAAAAAAAAAAGATAAGCAGTTTTAGTAAACACACACCACGTAAGTAGCTGAGGACGGCTCCTCCACAAGCTGGTGATATGCAAGGACTCATTCTTTTGCGACATTTAAAATACTAAGATCCAACTTAACTGATCCTTTTGCAGACTAAGGCTGTGCATAAAATGCCATGCTGTAGGCAAATGGCATACCTGAAAATTTTTCAGCATTTTCCATACA